GAAGACATAAAAAAAGATAACATATGACGGGTATTTTATCCATTTGCTACATCAAGGGTATCAACCTGGAGGCCAGGGTCTCTGTAGGGCTATGATATGGTTTCAGATAAAACAACCATGATACACAATAACAGTCTACATGGTAGGTAGAAGTACTTGTACAGTTCAGTTAAAAGTTACCATGATACACAATAACAGTCTACGTCAGAAACGAGTAAACTTTATTTGTATAAAAGCCTATGTAAATAGGAACATATAGTATGGATTAAAACTGTAGCTAGACATGATAGCTGAATACAAATTCAAGTCTGTGGTAAAATATGATCATGATAAAGACTCATTGTTATTCAGAAATTTATGAGCTTTCTTTCTGTCGAAATTGTTTTCATTAGTAGGATTTATTATCAGTGTTAATTTTAAGCGATAACGTTTCACAGCGCTTTCATGCGTGAATATTTTACAGATGCGTAGAAAATGATTTTTAGTTCTCTACAACATTTCTAAATATTTAACAAAAAACGTCTAAGAAGCTCAGTGTTTGTGGAATTTAACAAAATAGCATAAGAAATGAGTGTATTTTATCGGCAGAATAAAGTGACGTTACATTCTTTGGTGTAAATATTGTGTTGCTTACTTTCATCTGTTGTGGTAGCAGCGAAGGTTAACGAAAGCTTCTTAGAAGAAATATGAATATTATCGTTTACCGTTTGAAATCATATATTAAAATTCACAATTCAAACAACGACCAAAATTTGTGAAAGTTTTACATAATAAGGGTGAAAAATAATAAAGAAAATGGTAAAATAAGATTTACCAACGATAAAAAAATAATAATTCCATCAGGTTCTATATTTAGTGAGCAAACTTTCAATATTCATCTTGGAGTTGTCTTCTGGGTCCTCCGGTAGCTCATCGGTAAGTCTGAAGGCTTATAACGCTTAAAATATAGGGTTTGGATACTCCTGATGGGCACGGCAGAAACAGCCCATTGTACAGCTTTGTGGTAGCTGTCTTTTGGCTAACTGGTACGTAAGAACAAAGTTTTAAAAATACTGTATTGAATAATTTTAAAAATAACAATACATCAATATAATTATACTTGTAATAGGCCTAATAGTGACGTACACAATGCGCTATTTATCTGCGTTGTGTCCACCATGGGTATCGAAACTCGGTTTTTAGCGTTATAAACCTTCAACCTTACCGCTGAGATATTTTGAGCCTTACCGTTAAACGTGGCCATTTATTTGAGTTAATATACACTAAAGCGTTAACAGGACACACATATACTAAATTATTTCGACTGTCGATGTGTTCTTGTAACAAAAATAAAATAAAAATAAAAACTTAATTTTGAGCTCTAAAGTCTCAAGTATCATAAAGTTTATAGTTAAACAAGTGGCTTAGTAAGTACTATGAAATCAACCGCAAGATGGTGCGGTTTGCAGTTCACTAAACTTGAAGAGATAGGAAGTGGGCCGTCTTAGCGATATTGGTTCTTCCTTATGTGTCCCTTCTCAGAAAAGTTAAACAGTAGATTAAAAACAAAACAAAAAATTCAATGAGAGAACAAACGTCGAGATTTATAACACACGTTTTTCATTTTCAGAAAGCTAATTCATTGGGTAGTATTGTTAGCTGCTGATGTAAGAAATTCTGCGGATTACTGGGCCATATTTTGTTATAAGAAAAAATAGGAGAAAATGCGAGTCTAGAAGTATACAATATTTTATTCTTTTTCCCTGAAAACAGTAAAACAAAAAACATTAGGTTGTATGAAAAAATATATATACACTAAAACACATTGCATTTAGAGGAATTTATTCTCAGAGTCACCAACCTACAACTTTACATACGGGCTCTAATCTCTGGCTCTTGCAATATGTAAATTAATGTCGTAGAAACTTGGTCACGAACTTCCAATTCTGACAGCTTGGGCTCTGGTTTTCACCTTCTTTTCAACTCGTAAGCACTGATGGGACAAAATAAGTCATTGGTGGGGAAATGCTCCGCCAGGTACATAGTTTAAAAACATGCCTTGTTGTTGCATTCTTTCTGTAGAAAAATGTTATTATTTGCCGTTTTAACCGTCCGTTAAAATTAACAATTCGTACAACGTTAATACTAGTGGCCTAAAAATAGGTGGGTAATTATCCCACAGCCGACAACAGATTTTATAAGTTTTATATAGAAAGGGGGAGGGATAATAATGAAAATGGTAAACTAAGTACTTCTAAGCAGTTATATAAGAATAGGTGGGTAATTGTAACTTTTAACTGAACTGTACAAGTACTTCTACCTACCATGTAGATTGTTATTGTGTATCATGGTACCTATTAACTAATTAAGAACTTTTAAACAATAAGAACATTAAAGCATTATTTTTGAAATACTTAATTTCTGTGTTAAATGTTTTTTTACAAAAATGTTAATATCAAAATTAAATGCTCTCGATTGTAGCTGATGCGAGCTATTCACTTTGTATCAGATTTATAAACTAAAGTATTATCGGCGATTCGTTGTCTTAACGGTGTTTTATGGTGTTGTGCTTTTAATTATTTAATTTCTTCATTTTATCCAGCGTTTTCCGTTATAGAACACACGTGAATTAAACAGCTTAAAACTTAGGAGTTTCGTTTCACAGCATAAATGAACTAATAATAGATTTTCTATGATATGTGGTTACTAACGATTTTGTCTAAATTCGTTTTATATGTTTTTGAGAGTCTTATACGAAGCAGTTTCAGTTGTTACTAACGTCCGATAAAACGTGCCCTTTTTGTTTGCTTAAAGCTTGAAATAATCACAAAATAATAGACTTTTCCAGACAAGTATAAATATCTTATGAAAACTGTAGCGATTGTGGACAAGGATAGTCGAAACTATTAAGTACAAACATCTCTATAGTAACGAAACATTACATACTTATAAAATAAAACTAATTTATGCCACTTAATGTTATGAATTAAACTTAAAATAATTCTGGAGTAGTTTAGAAAATGATATGCATACATTTGGTTTTTGGTTAAAACACACGGTTTTTCTCTATTTCGTTCATCTTCTCTCTTTGTGAGACTTATAAAACAAACCAATGATACGTTAGTTATACAGTAAAGAATAATAAGTAACATTAAAAGCATTCATATGTTTTCATTATCTTTAAGAACGATTATCTTCGGAACGATAATTTTGAAAAACTTTTGGGAATTTTGGCTCACGTAATACCATAAAAGGTTCTTTCTTTGGCTCTGTGTGTGTTTGTGCTTACGCTCTCTTTTTTTTCCACTGCACGTAATCAGCTCTAACTGAACTTACTTAAGTTATTACTACTTATTTAGAAACTGGTGTGTATAGTTTTATACTTGGAACTAAACAGGATAAAATTCTTTTGTTCATTTAAAGGTTGTTATATTTATTTTACTAATGTTGATCATCTTCCTTAGATATCATCAACTGATGTTCTCATTTACTAGGTATAGTTTAGTCAGTGCCATGAATTACGTGAAGGCAGAAGAGACCACTGTCTCCTCAAGAACTGTAAAAATTACAGATACTAGCATAAAATACCTGCTTTCCACTGCGAGGTTCAAAGGCCCCTTCATGATTCATAGAGGCCCCAGTGTCCCGACGGATCAAGCTCCTCCATCATCCCTAATTACCGCTGTCGTACGACCTGTTGTAGGTCTTTATGAATGATACTGGTGCTCCAAGTAGATCCATATTCCATTGTTTTCCAATGCCATTAAGTACAAGGGATATCCTCGTCTTGGAAATTTTAAATACCCGGTCTAAACAAATTTTTATGATTTCAGTGAATGAATTACACACCCTTCCCAAAACCGACCAATTTTCGATGACATCAAATTATCTACGAAAGCCAAGTAATGTAAAAAATGTATTTTTGATACATTCCGTACCACTGCGACTTTATTTGCACACTCAAACATCGTTTAATATAAGCATTCAACCCTGTATAATATCAAGTTACCAGAAACAAAGTCTCCAATGAGCATACACGTACAGAAATGACTTTAAAAAATTATAAACAATTTAAAGAAAACTTAACCTAGATCGTAACAATGTCTCAAAAAAATCTAAATACTAAACATGGTGCACTTATATCCTTTCAAAAGGTAAAAAAGTGCAAAAGATAATTTAAATCAGCATGGAAATAGTAGATTTGGTGCAAAAATATCTAAAATGTAATTAATTAATACATCATTAAAAATTATAAACATTTAGAGCAGAAAGTCCTATTTCGATTAATTGGAGTGTTAAAATTTGAATAAGAAGTTTTGTTTTTCTATACACATATGATACACTGGGCTCGTGCACTTTTAACTCAAGTATAAAGAATGATAGAAGATTTGGTTTAAACCACTAGAGGCGCTTACACACGCAAGTTTTGGAGCAGTTGTTTTGTTTATTTGAATTAAGACTAAACAGAGGCGAGAAAAAATTATTTATGAATCAGGGATATCCTGAATGAATTATACCCAACAGAACTATTTTGTTTAAATGGTAGATATAATAGGTCTACGTAGGAAGTTCATGAGGTATTATGTATTTTCAAGCAAAAAACAAAACAAAAAATTGAGGACAAATAATTAAAGAATTTTTAAAATATAAACTGAGTTTTTATGTAATATTTCGGTGACTGAAATGATAATTATTTTCACGAATAAAACACCCTTGTTAACTGCAACCGATTCACAAGTAATTGTATATTATATTTTAATTTAAAATGCACAGAAGTCTGATACAATTATTTAGCAATAATATTCATTAAAGCAAATATATACAGTTCTAAGATCTGATGCTTAAGCCTAATATTGAGTGCGTGAACATAATGGCACTAACAGTTGGTATGTTTGAAACTTTCTTGTTAAGTTTGATTAACTCTTATTGCTGATTTCGTCAACCAATCCCTTTCGTTAGTTTTATTCATAAGCATTTTGAGAGCATACAAATCCATATCAGAAAGAAGTGTACACACTTACTATTGTGAATATCGAAGCGATGACAGCTGTACCGTGCAGTGAACATCCACAACACACCATGACTAGTAACACAAATCACTATTTCATCCACGAACGTTATTATTTAAATGTTGTTTCAATTTAAAGGAGAATATTAAGAAACCGTCAGCAATACGAAGAACGTCTGGTTATAAATGTTATTACAATTTTATGGTTCTTGTTCTAGTTAAGAGATCCTACATTGTTTGATCACTTTTGCTACAACGTGTTTCTCAGGGTACTTTGGACTTTAACCTCTCAAGAGATTTTCTTTTTCGATGACCAAATTGATATGTTATTCAATGGAATTACCAACATAATCATTAACTAGCTTACCAAGTACTGCGGATAAAACATTTTGGTCTATTAGACTTATTTGACAAATTACGGGAAGCTACTGAAAGTTAACTGAAATTATTATTTCAATATTTTTTGTTAGTTTCATTTGTATTCCAAGTAGGGTTAAATGTAAGTATTGGTGCCAGTCGAGGTGGTGACTATGTGTTAACCTATAAACATAATATTTTTTTTTGTAAAACAAATAAAACTTCATATTTCCAATCGAAATTAGGACTGACCACTGAACAAAATTAATGAGGTTCTCACGGTGTCTCAACGGTAAGCGTGAGAGATTATAACGTTATAATTAGAGTTCGAGCCTAGCGACAAACAGCACAACTAGCCCATTGAAAAGCTTTGCACTAATAGAAACATACGACTGTGCTTAAATTTCTGTTGGTTTCTTTCTTTTAGTGTCCGATAGAGCAGGAAAGATTTAGATGGACACGAAAAGGGTTGGTTGGTTGTTGACTGTATCGAATATTCACGCATAACTACACAAGGCTATATGCGCTAGCCGTCTCTAATTTTAAACTGTAGGCAGGCAGGCAGTTAGTCAACAGTAGCTACTACCAACTTTTGGACTGCTATAATCGAATGGTGGGATTTGAGCATCACTCTTATAACGCACCCACGGTCCCAAAAAGCGGAGCTTAATTTTGAGGCAACAGGTCGCGAACCATGGATCTTCGTGTTCACGATTCGGGCACGCTGGCTAATAGGCCACACCCGGCCCGCTAAAATGTAACACTGTATTGATTGGAAATTTTCACCATTCACTTTTCGCAGTAAATCATGTTCACACGAGCATTAAGAAAAAAGAGATGTAGATAATAATTCACTGGGTGTAAAAACACATCATGTTTTACGAAAATACATAGAATGTATAAAATTGTCTTGTATTTATAATTGGCATGTTATAATGTGACGGTCAATCCCACTATTCGTTGGTGAAAGAGTAGCCCAAGATATGGACCCGGTGGGTGGGGATGACTAGCTGCCTTCCCTCTAGTCTTACACTGCTAAATTAGGGACGGCTAGCGCAGATAGCTTTGCGCAAAATTCAAAAAACAAAAACAAACAAACATATTTATATGCCACAATCATATTTCCCTCTTGTTGTCAAAGCTAAATTTAAACAAACCTTTGTTGTTGTAAAACTTATCTATCTTCCACAGTTTCAGTGACTAACGCCTACGACATTGGTTGGTTAGGAACGCAGTTTTTGATTAGAAGTATGACATTTATAGCAAGTAGTGAAATTGTTAGTTACATTCACAAGTTCAAGACAAAAATAGTAAACGTTGCATTTTACTACTTTACATAAAATATACATTCTTATTCCACCGAACTAAACACACAGAATTAGTACTTATTAATCTTGAGAATCGGCTCTGGTGTTATAAAGAGGGGAAAAATATTTTATTCAACAAACCACACTCATTTTTTCCAGATAACCAGATAAAATAAGCGCTCAAAGTTTACATTAAGGAAGCGCATCTAGATCAAGTGAATGTGCACAGTAGTAATTAGTAATTAGTGCACAGTAGTAATTAGTAATTAGTGCACAGTAGTAATTAGTAATTAGTATAAGAACAATGAGCAGTCTGGTTCATCTAAGTTAAACAGTTCAGTTTTTCGAACATTGTGAAACACACAACACACACACTAGTTGCCTTTTATAAGCTGCATATTTCCTGAGCACAAAGTCCAAGTCCTTAACTTAAACACATAACTGGCGTTCCCTCGCCCTTTCAGCCGTGGAGGCGCATTTCTGGTGGTGACGGGGATTCGAACCCGCTGACCCTCAGATTGCGAGTCGAGCGCCCTAACCACCTGGCCATGCCGGGCCGCCTCCGAAAGAATCCAACTAATAAAACTTGTCTAATGATAGTGTTTATTAATACCTGCAGAGGGAGATCACGACATATAACACCTTCGTAGTTATAAACATATATACCAAAAACTGCTTGGATAAACAGTTTAGAGAGCTACAATTTTTATTAAGTAAGCTTTCGAATTTTATTGGGGACGTCTCTGAATATACCGTCGGTTATTATTTGGTTATGTAGCATTGTATGGTGAACATGTTAGACATCCTCACCCAGCTCTCAATTCCGTCCACGTTTCAATATTTTACCTACACAGCCAGAAGGTCATCGTTTGTGTTTTGATACCAGAAACATGTTTCCCAGAACCCATGGCAACCTAATCCTATTTATTATGTGTAAGAAACTCAACAAAGATACCATCCTCAAACTACGAACCACTCTGAAAATGCCATCACGGAACTATTATTGACACATTGCACCAACAATACCTATTTCGAATTCCATGATGATTACTTCGAAGAAACTCCTGTTCTACCAATGGGCTATCCCCCCCCCCTGTTTCTAAGTGACTTATACATGTAAGATTTCGCATCTAAAACCTTAAATTCTTCCACACTGAAACCAGGCCTGTGGTAAAGATATTTCGACGACATCTTTATTATTTGGCCTTACACCTTAGACGCATTACAGACTTTCCTTCAACATCCCAGTTCTCTTGAACAGCTCATTCCTTTCATCATGTAAACCTCTTTTATCATCATGGACATTTTATCAATACACCAATCTATTGGAAATCCACTCACTCCGATAGATATCCACATTTCAAGTCTAACCATTAAAAGAAGTATCGTAAACTATTTTCGACCGAGTCACTAATATCCGAGACAACAACCAACTTTATAAAAAAAAAAACACTTACTACAAATTTCCAAAC